GGGGGCTCCCCCCCCCCCCCCCCCCCCCCCCACTCACACAAGTAACTCCCTTGCTTCAGATCCCAAACCCATACACAGATGGTCTCCAACTTAGGATGGTTGGACTACTCTTTATTATAAAATAGGCTTCATGTTAGATGATTTTGCCCCAATGTAGGCTAATGTGAGTGTTCTGAGCACATTTCACATACACTAGGCTAAGCTATGATGTTCAGTAGGTGTATTAAATGCATTTTTGGCTTTAATGATATTTTCAGCTTAGGATGGGTTTGTCAGGATGTAAGCCCACTGTAAGTCGAGGTGCATCTGTATGTGCACACACACGTAGGTACTGGCAAACACAAAGGTATGCACTGACCAGGCACGGAGGCTTTTGTTTCTTTGGGAACTGAGATGTCAGTGTTGGACCTACAGTCACAGTCCAGCCCTGAGGACCTCAAGCCTGCCTAGATGAAAATGCACACCCAGACCAACCTCACCTTCTTCCCATCATTGCGGTCCAGGTGCAGGAAATAGGTGGGGTACATGCCCCGGTCCATCCCCTTCTTGTCCCGTGTGATCCGGCATTTGATGGTGATACCCTGGGGGGCTGGCCTCAGTGCAAACTCCTCAAGATCCTGGACCTCGACATCCACCAGTGGCTCTGGGGTAGTTGGACTGGGAGCTGAGGCTGCATCCTACAGGGAGAGAGAATAGGAGAGTCTGAGCCCCAAGGACTGTAAGATTGGTGGTCTACGATACAAATCCGCACCTCTTGACTGGGTGGTGGTGGGAGACAAGGCAAGATCCCTGGGATGTGGGCCTGGCCATCCTGGCCCTGGGGTCAGGAACTATCCTCCCAGCCCTTCCTTCTCCTCAACAGTCCCTGGGGTGGAGACAGATATGGGGAGACCCTCAGAGGTTAGCCTGTCTAACTCCAGCTCCCCACCACCTCACTCCCCTGGCCTGGCTGAAGAAATCAGGAGCAGAGTGGAACAGCAGAAGAACCCAGCCAGGGCAGCTCTTAATAGGCGTCTGGATCCACCCCTGGCCCCCAGGAATTCACACACTCACTCTACCTTCCAACCTGGAGGAGCAGTCCTCTGATTGCTGCGTCTAACCTCCCGCTATGGTGAAAGCACCTCACTCACCCTGATGGACTTCCTGCTTGTAGCGGAGCTGGGGCGGGTGTTGCTGTTCAGCTGGGAGGAGCTAGAACTGTTCTCGTCCTCGTCCTCCTCTTCCTCTTCAAAGCTCATGCTGCTGGAGATGCCTGGCCAAGCAGAGGAACGGGAAGGGATGAGTGAGGCGGAGTCTACCCCCTGAAACATAGGTGGTCACATACAGACACACATTCACAGACACTGACTCACCCACATGTCCAGATCTCCATAAGAACACACATTCCCTCAGGTGCACACGAACTGGGGCTGGTCACAATCCTAAGGATAGTCCCCACCACCCACCGCTATTTCAGCTCAGTCCCTGCATCTGCCTGCTCTTCCCCTCTGACAGTCACATTGCCCTATCTCTTGTATATCAAGGCCTACACTGAGCTGACCCTGCATTGGGAACCTCCATATCTGACCTCAGGCCTCCTAGAGGCCTTGGCTGGCATAGGCCATGGAATCTGCCAGGGAAAAGGTCTCAGCTCCTTACTCAGCCTGATGTGCAGGTGCCACTGGATCATCTTTACCCCTGCCTGCCCTAAGCCCATCTCAACTGTTCTCCCCCAAGCTTCTCCCAGCTGGAATGTTTACTCAACAGCCCTTCCTCCAGGAAGCCATCCTTGATTAGATCATCTTTACCCCTGCCTGCCCTAAGCCCATCTCAACTGTTCTCCCCCCAGCTTCTCCCAGCTGGAATGTTTACTCAACAGCCCTTCCTCCAGGAAGCCATCCTTGATTAGATTCCTCACAATATGTGTGGCACTGCTAGGCTTCCTCCCTCACCATCCTTCTCAGGGTGGGGAAACTGGACAGCAGGTTTCAAGGAGGATCTGCCCTGCCTGACATCGTGGCTGCTCCCTCTAGCTCAGCAGACATATGGGGAACTTTTTGCAAAGGGAGCTTTTTCTAAGGAGTGAAAGGGAGTAGAAAATCTGCCCCCAAACCTGGGCCTCCCTGAGGTGAGGTTGGAGGAGACAGGCCTGGGTTGTGGGTTGGTTACCTTGAGTACTTTCCCTCAACTTGGCCTTATCAGGGGCCCCTCCCCAAAAGTTTCTCACCTGTCCCCAAGAGTGCCTTCCCCTACCACGGCCAGGGAAGGGCTGGGACAAACACAGGAAAGCTGTGCTCCCGGAGAAGGGTGCATCTGAGAACCTAGGAATGAGCTTTGGGGGGTGTCACTGGGCCCCCATGGGGCTCACCCTTCCTCTGCATCGTGGCACGGAGGTCCTGCCCGCTGGGCTGTGCGCCCCCACCAGCTGTCGTCTCCCCTGCGTCCTGCGTGTGGTCTGACTGGCCCACAGTCAGGATCTGCACCGGGCCTCGGGCCTCAGACTTGTCTTCTGCCAGTGTTGCTGGCCCACTGGTGCCTGCAGGCCACGGACACTCCTGAGTTACATCTGGGAGGGCAGAGGAGGGCCTGGATGCTCAGATGTCCACAAAGGGAGTGAGGAACGAGTGGTGGGGCTCTCTGCAAAACTTTATTTGCAAAACTGATTTTTAAAAACTAATGACTGCTGTCAGTCTGCTAATGATTGGTAGGTAAGCTGTGAAGGGATGTGGGCTTTGTTTCTTCTGCTCTTCCCCCAAATTAATTGCCAAGAGTTGGCTTGAAATACCCCACATCCTTCAGGCAGACGGCAGCCATCTACAAAACCAATTGCACAGTGGGAAAAAAAAAAGATGGAGAACAAGTATTAATCCAGACCATAGCCAAGGCCAAGATTCATTCATAGATGTGGCCAGCTATAAGTAACCAGTGCTGGCGTTTTCTCTCTCTCACACACACACACACAGTAACTCACACACATCATTAAAAATATATGAGGTCCCTAGAAAAAGCTTGTGGTTGGTGTACACTTGCCTTCCCGAGTGGAGGATCTCCCATCCCATATCAACCTTCCTGCCCAAGTTCACAGCTTTGGTAACAAAAGCCAGGCCTGGCCCACACAGGTGGCAGCCACCCTGCCTGGCTGAGCTATGCTTGCAGTGCTGCGGCCAGCTCCAGAAGCCCACGGACCCTGACGGTGTCCTGGAAGGCACTGCCCATGAACAAAAGACAAGGAACGGGATGTCCAGCCAGGGGCCACCATCACTGTCCTGTATTTCTAGGGATTTTTCTGGAGAGAGAAGAGCAGAGGGAACAGAGTGGTCTGTGGCCCGGAGACTGCAATGGGGACTAGAGTAGGGAGTTGAGGGAAGCTCACATTAAGAGGAAGCGCTGACAGAGAGGGCTGCGCAAGGATGGGGCAGGCTGCCCAGGAGGCAGTGAGTCCCCACTGAAAGGAGTGACCTGGCCCAGGCTGGGCAAGATCCAGGATGGAGGGAGCTCAGACCCAGGGGGTTCTGGGCCAGCTGAGCTAGACTTCACTTCCTGGCAGTATGATGGACTTGCCCATGCCCACAGGCCAGCCCAGGCACCCTGTGAGCTAGACAGGCCTGTGAGCCAGCTGAGTGGGGGCCCTGAGTGCCAGCCTGTGCCTTCACTGAGGCTGCTCACCTCCGAGTCAGGAAGATAAGCCTCCCTGCAAAACTCCAGTTGGGGCCAGACCTACTGGGGAGGGCTGTAGAGAAGGCAAGCTAACCTTTGTGCTTTCCCTTCTTCTCCTTCCTAGAGGGCCCGCCCTGGCCCCCTGCTGCACCTGCTGCCTTGGTTCTCTTGGCTGAGGCTGGTGCTGGTGGGCGGGCTGCTCCCAGCTGCACACTGGCAAGTGAGTCGGCTTCTTGAACTGCTCAGGAGACAACCCGAGACAGAGAGAGAGAGAGAGAAATGGGCTTTGGGTGAGACCAGGGCTCCCACTTGAACACATTCCAGCACTGCATTTCCCAATCCTCCGAGACCCACCGGCCCCTGTACCATCTCCTGGGCCCTCAGAGTCAGGCCCACTCATTCTACCAGGCAGAGGCCGTAGGGATCTCCCAGCCCAGTGATAAAGTCAACAGCCAGGCCAAAACTGGGACCAGCCAAGAAGCAGAGCAAAGTTCTGGGCCAGCAAATTGTTCTGAGCCTGTGCAGGGGCAGAGTGTCCATGGGAGTGTGCACTGTTGAAGACAGTGGAGGAAGACAGCAAAGGCTGTATCTTCTGGAAGAGACCACAACCAGGGGCAGCAGTCCAAGGAGCCTGCACTGGGACCCTCCTGGGACGAGCTCCTGGTGGAAGAATAACTTGGGATACAAGGAGCAACACACAGCAACACTGAGGTTTCAGAGGGGTCACAGCTGGTGGCCAGATTCTCCCCACAATCTGCTCAAAATCCTTGAATGGTTTCTGACTGCTCTTAAGGTGAAAGGCAACATTCTCCTGCATGTCTGGCTCCTCCATCTCCCTTCTCCTTGGCCAGTTAACTGCACATTTCTCGCTTCCTGCACACCTAGTGTCCCAGCTACAGCAGGCTTTTCAGTGCCCTGGATGTACTGGACTCCCTCCTGCCACAGGGCCCTTTCCCTAGCTGTTCCCACTGCCTAACTGCCCTCCCCATCTGATGACTCCCACACACCCTGCAGATTTCAGCTCAGGAGTCACTTCGTTGGGGAAGTCATCTTTGACTCTCTAGAGGACGCAGGTGCTCTGTCCTCCACTCACAGAGCCTGGCTTCTTTCCGCAACACACACCTGTGACCATCTGTTTAACACTCTCTCCCCACCTAAACCATGAGGTCCAGGAAGCAGAGACCACACCCACTTGTGCTCACCCAGGACCCACAGCTTCTAATCCAGAGCCTGACACAAAGTAGGCCCTCAATAAAAATTTAAGAAATGAATTAATGTGTAACATGAATGAGCACAGCCAATAGGTCAAAAACTTTACTGGGATAAACCTTCAGTTCTGATGTATGTCGAACTCCCTCATCTTCCTCTTGGAATGATGCCCCATATTTAAAACGAAGAGCCAGCAGAGGGCAGAGCAGGAGGCAGCTAATGCCGTGCATGGGTTGGGGCTAGTTGTGGAAACACACTTCCCAGATCTGCCAGTGACGTGTGCAGCAGCCACCCCAGGGCTTTGTCCACCAGAGAAGCAGCATCCACAGAAGTCAAATGTCACATGCTCAAATGGCTTCAGTGAGGAAGGCCCTTGGAGGCCCAGCCTGGTCTGGAGGCTCAGCAGGGAATAGCAATCAGCTGATTTTGGACCCTGGAACATATCATGGCTCCTTCAAATTTCAAAGCCCTAAGACAGAGGATTTTCCTCATTTTATAGTGGAGAAAACACTCAGAGAGGGTAAGTGACTCGCCTCAGTCACAAGTGAGCAGGTCACCAGCACTGGCACCACCAGAAACTGTCTCCTGACTTTGGTTGTGCCCTCTCCCCACAGGTGCTACTTCTCTTACCATAGGCCTGGCACTGCCCTGGCACACAAAGCAGGTGCTCAAGAAACACCTGCCAAATGACTGCACATCAATGACTTCTCAAGATGGTGGCCTCTGGCACAAACTGGCAGGGCCCAAAGTCCTGGTTGCAGGCTCCCATCCCACATGCAGTCTTGATGGGTCAGGTGCCAGCTTGGCAGAGCTGGGGCTGAGATGCCCACAGCAGCAGGCCAGGCTCCACAGGACCCGGAACAGTGGCTGCCTTCCCTGCAGGGCAGCAGCACCCGGAGACAGCGCTCACAGAGGCTGTCTCTATGAGACAGCTGGACTGAGGTCCTGTCCCGTTCTTTGAAGGGCCTCTCAAGTGAAGTAGAGACATACCAGGTATGGCCTGGGGTGCTGAACTGAGGTACATGCAGGGGAATAACCAGGAAGGAGATTCAGATCAGGGAGGCGACGTACTATGGTGGAAAAACCATGTGGAGTCTGACAGGCCTGGGTTCAAAGTCCAGCCCTGTCGCTCATAGCAGTATACCTTGGGCAAGTCACTGAACCCCTCAGAGCCCAGGTCCTTATCAGTGGTGTGGGGATAGTGAGCTACTGTGAGGACAGGAAGAGAGAATGCAGCGTGCCGCTGGCAAAAGCCTCAAAACAGCCTTTATTAGTAGAAATTAAGTGGGTTCCTCAGGGGGCCTGAGTGCACGTGGGGAGTGAGCTTGTACACTGTGCATTCCACAAACTAGCACTAGGCAAATGAGACTCAACCGCTGCCCTCCAATGCACAGACAAGGGGGCCCAGGGAGCTGAGGGCTGGGCTAGCACAACACAGAGGAGAATCCCCTGAGACACAGAGGGGCAAGGCATGGCCAGTGGGCACATGAAAAGGGTTAGTCCTGAAGTGAGGCAGTTGCCAGTAGTTCCATGTGGCTGGAGGCTCCAGATCACGGTTCCTAACTATAGAAGTCAGATGCCTGCGACCTTCTTAGAGTTACTATTTGATGGAGTGGCTGCCGGGATTACCGACACCAGCAGGGGGCAGTGGTGACTGAGCCCAAGCCCAAGCCCCTCTTTCAAGTTCAGAGAGACCAACCCTCTGTCTGGACCAGGGTACTCTTAACCTAAGCAGGAGGGAGGGTCTTGAGCACAGGGAAGCAATGGAGCCATCCCCTCCCCAGAATGAGCTACAGAGAATTCCACCCAGGTGGTTCTGCTGAGCACCACAGCGTGTGAGGAGGGGAGGTGGAGGCTGCATGTCATTACCATTCTGGAGGCCTGAGCCAGGGACAGGGACCTGCAGGTCAGAGGCCAGGCAGACTGAAGGTGCAGGGAGTTCAGGGAGGATAGGAGACAGGAGTTTGTCCCAAGAGACACTAGTTAGTGTGGGGCAGGATGCTGAGAGACAGGCTCCTCTCAGGAGACAATACTGGTGGTGAGCAGGCTCTATTCTACCATTAGGAGCTGCCTCCTGCTCTCAGTGAAATGCTCCATATCAGAAACGTGGACTTCTGAACTCCTGACTCCATAAAGTTTTAGCCTGCTGGCCCCAGCACCCGACTCAGGAGGCAACAGCCTGAGCGCAGGCAGGAACCCAAGGCTGTAGGTCCCAGTTTTTTCCACCCACTCCACTCAGCTGTTCACCTGGGCTGAGAGCCATACTCAGCCTGGGCACATCCTGACTGGATGAGCCCCTCACCTGCCCAGGGTGGCAGGAAGTCCCTGAGGGGCTCCCAAAGCAGTGCAGAGTGTGGAGCTACAGAGCAGGGGTCTCCCTGGGCTGGCTGTCCCTGGGGCAGCAGGCAGGTGTACCTTGGTAGCTGGTGTTGCCACTGCTGTTGAGGTAGGACTCCACCAGGGGGGCTTGCTCCTCTGACTGCCGAGCCCGCCGGCTCCGGGGCCGCCCATCTGTATTGGCCTGCACCATCAGGGGCTCCTGGCGCTTCTTCTTCTGCTTCTGCTCCAGCAGGGCTCGCTACAGAGGCACAGGGCAGGCACAGAGGTTGGCTGCCCCACCGCCTCCACCAGGAGGGAGGAGTTCCCAGAGACGTATCCGAGAGAGTGCCCTGCTTGCTCAGCTGGGTGCCAGAGGTTGCACTGGGGTCTACAGCCCACTCTGGGCCAAGGCCCCATGTCCTTGGCACCCCTAGACTTGGGGTCCAGGAAAGGGAGGCTGCCTTGGCAGGATCACAACACAGACATCCATCCCTTCAGCTGCAGTCACCCTGCTGGCTGGCTGCCTGGCAGAAGCTCCATGTACTGAGGCAGCGTTACTGCTGAGCTGGTAAAGGAGAAAGCATGCCTCTCTTCTTCCAGGTGGGCCCCTTTCCCCATCAGACAGGATCACTCAGGGAAGAGGGACAGCCCTCCCCCTCTGCCCTCAGAGGTCCTAGTGCTGACTCTGCCCTTCCACCAGGCCCCAGCCTCACTTACCTGCCGGTCAAGCTTCTGCTGCCTCAGGTTGCTGCCCTCATCATCTAAGACACTGCAGAGGAGAGAGGATCATTCAGGGCCTGCCTATGAGCTGCCAGGATAGAGCCCAGAACCCATCCCAGAACCTCTGTGTCCTTTAAACCCCTCCCATCATGGCTCCTGGGACTCAGGGAGCCCACATGGTGGAGGGAGGAAGGGTGGAGGCTGCCATCTAGTAACTGGCTTGAAACATATTTCTGCCACTTTGATAGCTTATCTCCTGCTAGGTTCCCTGTTGCCCCAGCTGGATTGGCCCCAGCAAGTACAACAGGAGACCTCCCCCTGGGATCCCTGAGCAGGGCCAGGCTACACAGAGATCCAGGGGATCCCATCCAGAAGCATCAGCCACAAGCCACGCCTGAGGCTGGGCTTCAGACCCCGGGGCCTGCTCCATATGGGGAGCTCACAGCATTCCACCCCACTTCTTTCCATCGTTTCTGGAAGATGCTGGGTCCTCCCATGCAGGCCTTCTCCCTATCCGTTCAAAGCAAACTTCTAGCTCTCCAGGTAAGCAGAGCGGAGATGCTAACATTGCCCACTCCCTTTCCCCACTTAGAGAGTGCAAAGTGTCCTCCTTATTTGGGAGAGTGAGGCTAAGAGACCAACCAGTCCCTCAGGGCAGGGTAAGCGCAGAGCTAGGGCAGGATGTCTGCAAGATGGACACCACACATCAATGCACAGCCCAGCAATCGACCACCAGGCCCTTCCTGGGCCACAGACATGACACAAGCAGCACTGAAGGACATTAAATCTGGAGCCCCACAAGTAGTGGGATGGGTAGCTTCATCTCACCCATCCTGGCCCTGCCTCCCAGGAAAGAAGAACACAAGTATGGAGCAAGTAATGCAAACCACTTAGATTTCCTGCTAGCCCAGGTTATGTGCATGAGACCTCAGCCCAAATCCTATGAAAGCCAAGGTCAGGACAGCTGCATGGGGTGGAGCTGGAGCCTGAGGTTCTGAGCTCTGGGAAGCCCCAAGCAGCCCTGACCCAGTTATGCTGGAGCCTGCCCCTGAACCAGACCTGTGTGTGGGTACCAGCGCAGGCATGCCCGAGGGCGTGAGGTTTGTGTGAGGCTGGAAGGAAGTGTGTGAGTACATCTCATGAGTGTGCACACATGCGTGCAGACACCTGTGTAAGAACTGGGTGTGCCTGTGTGTAGGTGAATACATCATGCATGTAAGGGGGATGGATGAGGTCAAATCACGTCCTCCCGCCCCCACCCAGATGGCCCTGCCTCCCCATCTCCACTATGGCACCATTCCTAGGGCATCTTCCTTCCTCACCAACACCTCCCCAGCCTGCCTCTTCCTGCTGGGCATTGTTCTAGGCTGCACTGAACGATAACCACGCAAGGAGACAGTAATGGCTTTTTAATGACTCCGTCTTCCTTCCTCACCAACACCTCCCCAGCCTGCCTCTTCCTGCTGGGCACTGTTCTAGGCTGCACTGAACGATAACCACGCAAGGAGACAGTAATGGCTTTTTAATGACTCCGGCTCCAATTATGGAATCACTGCCAAACACAGGCTGCCAGCTGCAGCCCCGCCAGCAAACTCAGACGGGAGACAGGGCACTGATGGATGGGTCTTCCAGCTGACCCTGGCAGCTCCTTCATTACAGTTGCCTCCTGCTGGGGGCCAGACTAGGGAGGCCCAGAAAAGCACCAGCCATTGGCTGATGACAGTCAGAGAAACCCAGTCTGCAGTATCCACCAATCCATCTGCTCTCCCCAGGGCCAAGGAGGTGGCAACTTCACCTCCCAGGGAGCCAGCCGTTTTACATCCACTTGCTCCCTCCAGGCACCCGGCAGATATCTGGGGAGTAAACCACGATTGAGAGCAAGGGGGCAAGGGCACAGCGGAAAAGCAAGATACAGCCAACGTATTTAGGAAGCCTGTTTCTCTCCCTTTCTTCTTAGACTCCACCTTATATGCTCCAGCTAATCCATTGCTCCAGAGGCCCAGGGGCCAGGACAACCTAGGGACAGGCCCAACCATCTGGATATACTCTCCGTGCCCACTTTGCTCTCATTCTTTCCCTTGAGTCACAGTGGAAGCTGCCCCTGCTGGACCCAGGAAATCAGAGAAGTGAGCTTTCAGGGGAGTAAAGACCACCCAGGGTATCTGGCTGCGACCCTGGGCCCAATGCCAGACCCCCAGCAAGTCCAGATCTGTGGCTTCTGTTGCCTACCAGCTGTTTGGAAGACAGTGGAAATGGGCAACTCCAGAAGGGAGAGGACTGTGCTGCTCACAGACTTCCAGCATCCTAGGATGGGCCATCTGCATGCCCAGACTTACCAGATGCATTAAAACTGCTAGGAGCACTAAGCCCTGCCTTGGTAATTCAGAACTGCTGGGGAACACACCCCCAAATCAACCCCAATCTCACTTTCTTTTTTAAAGCAAGTGCCTTAGATAATTCTAATGCTCAGCCATGCAAATGGAGACCATGAGCCACAGCTGGTGATCACTAAAGAACAAAAAGGAAATTGGGGAGTTGCTATAAGGCTGCTGCCAAAGGAGAAGTGGTGGGCCCAAGCATCCATGGCAACTCTGAGGCCAAACCTAGCTGCAGAACTGAAAGAGTCAGGAGTCTTGCTTAATCAGTAGTCATACTGCTCCCCAGAAGGCAAAGTGAGGAAGTGGTGGGAGGATCCTAACAATGGCCAAGAGGAGAGGGAACCCAGAAACACACTTAGGCTCAGCACAAGAAAGACTTTCTAACAGTCAGGGGTGCTACAGGGAGCATTCACACAGGGAACTAGACGGCCTGTAAGGGCCCTCCCAACCTGAGGTTCCCCTTCTATGACCTAGGGCCATGATTTTCAGGAGGACCCATCATGATGGGAGAGCACTGTATTCCTCAGGTGTGCTGAGAATCCAGGTGTGGTGCCAGGAGAGCTGAGGAAGCCCTAAAGCTACATGGACATGCCACTTTGATTCAAAGAAGTGGGCAACTTGTTTATGCTGGGTCATGCTGGGGACACATGGGACCAGATAAGGTCCCTGCTCTCAAGGAGTTCATGATCTGATGAAGGAAACACCAGGCAATGGCCTCAGGACCATGCAGACAAGAGCACTGAGGACAGCACTGGCCACCAATCCCATCTGGCAAGGTCCTCCAATATGCCTGTGGGCCATAGTCCTACTAACTCTCAAGGCTCCACCTACAACTTATTAAAGGCCGTAAAGTCATGCAACACAGGGATTTAATGTCTTCAAGAATAGAGGTAAAGAGAAACTGGCAGAAACGGAAATTACTTGTAGTAATAGAAAAAATAAATGGCAAAAATGATTCCAGTTGTTAACTTTATACACTAAATGGCTCTCTTCTAAGTCAGAATGTAAGATTAATCTGGGATCATTATAAACTGAGCCAAAATTACCCGTAAGATTATCACCAACTATCACTGCTGCAAAGAGACTGAGCTCGACCCAGGGAATGCAAGGTGCAGCCAGCCCAGATGGAGTAAAACCCCCACCAGCAGAGTAGCAGAGTAACAAGAAGTCAGCCTACCCCTCACCCACAAACCAAATGCCACATTCCAGTTCTGACATGCTGTGGCATTAGGGAAACCTCACACCAGTCAAAGAACGTGCACATGTGCCATCATATCCACCCCCATCTGCAAGTAAAGTACCTTGTCTCCTGCCCCAGTTTTCTCTGAGATCAGACAGGCATGTGGCTTTGACTGCAGTCAGCAGCCCAGTTAATGCAAAAGGCAATCTGAATCTCTTTCTCTCAGCCCAGGTCTCCCCACTTTGACAGTCTATACCTCAAGTCCAATGCTTTCTTTTATTTTTTTCCTTTTTGTCTTTTTTACTGACTGGTAACGGGATCGCGACCCTCGGTGTCGTGCCCGTACCGGGGACCGGCAACGGGATCGCAACCCTCGGTGTTGCGCCCGCACCTCGCTCAGCCAGTGAGCGGGAACCGGTCTCCACATGGAATCTGAACCCTCAGCGGGAGCGCCGCCACACTCCCAAGCGGCGCACTCTCCAGTGCGCCACCGGGCCGGCCCAAGTCCAATGCTTTCTGAGGCTAAGTGCATGCCCAGTAAGACACCAGCAGGACAGGGCAAAAAGGATCCTGGCAACTTCTGACTACAGCCTGCTCCCATCTAGACACCTACCATCCCTACAACAGAACAAGAAGGCAGGTGACAGAGGAATGAGAAAAGCAGGCAGGGCAGGGCCAAAAGGGCCCAAGCTACTCCCAGGGCTAGGCTTCCAGGGTTGCAGGATTTGGTGCTCCAGGCTGAGTGTGTGGGCATGGGGAGAGGGGTATTTGGGTCTGGGCTGGGACAAGAGCCAAATCACTCTTGCAGGATGCCCATGCCCTGGGCACTTGCTGGAGGACAGTTATTTCCTGGAGACAATCCTACTTCCTTAGGGCCCCCCTTCCCGGGAGCAGGCTTAAGCCTCCCCAGCTTGAGCCAGATTTTCTCTAAGAGCCATGCACTCACTCTACAAATTGCTTTAGTCCTTGGCTTCCTGGCAGAGGCTTCTTGGGAGAGGCTTCCCGAACCATGACCTGGCCTGACCCAGCCTCCAGCTTGCCCAATCCTAAACACACCATCATCTCCAAGGCCGTAAGTGCTGCCCCCCTCACCTTCCGAGTTAGTCTGTGGCCACCCTGCCACAGGTCCTTCCACAGCACTGGAGTGCACTCAGCCCACAGGCGCTGCCAGACACCTCTGCTAGAAAAGGTTACTGATAATCCATGGGGCTGCACTGTCTTCTAGAAGGTTCTCAGCCCACATGTGCCAAGAAGGACCAGGATGCTCCAGAAACTACCTGTGCCCCCAGCCTGGGTGTCTGTTTGGGGTGGCAGCTCTTCTGAGCCAGCACAGCCCCTGGCCCCTGATGGGAATATCTCCCTGATCCACATGAGACTCTGGGGTGTTACTGCATGTCACCAGGAGACCCTATGGGTGACTTGTGTGTGCACACACGTGTGTGTGTGTGGCGGTGGTGGAGGAATGACAAAATAATGTGGGAAGCCCTGAAA